CTTCTGTTGCGATCCATTGAGCAGGGCATCTGCTCCGTATGGCAATCGAAGAGGTTCAATTAATGCTAGGTATTACGTCTCCGATTCTCCGACTGTAACACGTAGTGTCGCCTAAAGTGTACCCCTAGTTACCTGCAGTGTGACACGTCATACTTCGGGATATCTGGTACATGGTACTAGGGTCGTCCGAGGCCCACCATTGGCTGATGATATTATATATCTATTGGGGACTTATAGGTTGTATATTTTACTCACGCTTAGGCTACCTATAAATATATTCAGTTCACAGCTTACCTTAAATTGGTCACTTCGCTCCCTTAGGCAAAGGGGACCTGTGAACTGCCGTTCACTGAGAGTTTGTATACTCTCGGAAGATAACTTCCTCTAGCGCAAGGTGCTGTATGACCCCGTCACACTTGGTAGCACTTGTAGTAAATCCACACCAACGCGGGGAGACTACCTGAACCTCTCTGAAGTTCGTTGTCATGGATAGGAACGACTTCTCTCATCTGAACGACTCACAGTTCGAGTCGGTTCGGAAGATGGCAGTCATCTTTCGGGATGGAGGCCCTGCAGAGCCTGGTGGCGTCAACACCGGCCGAGCAGCTCGAGCGCGTCAATGCGTTTGACGCGTACAAGCAAGGGCTCATCGCGCATGTGCGGGAGAACCTGCAGGCTCCGGCGGCGGAAGCAAATCCGCCTCACCCGAAGCCAATACGGCTGAAGGTTAAGCTGTATGAAGGAAAGGAAGGCGAGAAGCGAACAGACAGCGAGAAGTTGCCCTTCGATTAGCAGCCGAGTTCCAAGTGCGAGAGAAGGCACGACGAGATCGAGAGCACAATGAAGCACTGAGCAAGAAGGAGAAAAGATCCATTCCCAACACAGCAGATGACGAAGATGGAGTTGCAGAACCAGGCGATGAATCCACCGAATCCTTGTTCAAAGAGGGAGACCAAGTCTGGTTGTTTAAGGAGCGAGTCAAGTCGAACCTGACCAAGACGTTAGCCCACCGATGGCATGGACCATTCAGGGTGAAGAAGAAGGTGGAAGAATTCGCCTATGAATTGGAGTTACCCGACAAGAATGGATATAGGTTCTACCCAGTGGTCCATGTATCACGTCTGAAGGCAGTCACCGAACTCGGTGGAAGACCAAAGACGAGGCTAATCGCCGACCTCGAAGAGACTCAGCGATTTGACTTTGACGAAGAATTACTGCCTGAAGATAGCTGGGAGCCAGACACAAGTACGAACCAGTATGAAGTCGAAGCAATTCTCGACGATGAGCTACCATTATCCACGAGTACGTCCCGGTCACAGCGAAAGTTTAAGGTTAAGTGGGTCGGCTACGATGAGCCTACTTGGAAACCACTGTCGAATTTGTCATGTGGAGGTCTCCTGTTTGACTATCTACGACAGAAGAAGCGTACAAATGGTGCAAGTTGCAGATGAGGATTAACATTTATTGCACCAAATGTTACACCAACTCAGCGGACGAGACAGGCCGAGTTGAGATGGAATGCTACTGTGTCGAAATTACATATACTGAATAATTACGAAATGAAGTCCTGAACGATACTTACGGGACGCCCAGTCAAAAGAAGAAAATTAAAATGTTGGCGATCCGAACTCCAAGTGAGTTGAACCCGACGGAGACAACTGGGAAGAGCTCAGCGGACTCGACGATTGGAGGTGTGGCGTCGTAACAGACGTCGCCCCTTGGAAAACTGCGGAGGAGATGCAACATCCGCAGCCGTGGCAAGAAGTATCATCGCCGAGCTAGCCAACGAGACTGATGCCGAACCAGGTGGAAGAAGAACCGGTGCCTCAGGGCCCGACTCGGCTGAAGTGTGTTGAGGCGGATCCGTTCCACTATGGAGTGGAGTGCCGAACAGAGACATACTCGGAGACGCGCCTCGGAGATTGGGAGAACCCAACCCGTCGTCCGCCGAGTCGTCATCAGACGCACTCTCATCATCCGAGCCGAGTTTTCCTCCGTCGTGGTCATCTCGGTGGCCATTTCCGTAGTGGTACCCTCGACAAAACGTCTCCGTCTCCTCGGACGTCTCGGTTGTCTGCTTGCTCGATCCCGTGCCCGCGCCACTCGTACAGCCAGATGACACAGCGTAGCCACCGCGTTCAGCCACACTGCGGGCCACGTCGCCACTCACGTCTTCGCGTGCCAAGGCTCTCACGTCCTCGCTCGTCACTGTCTCCGTCGTTTTCCGTTTCCTCCGTCGTGGTCATCTCGGTGGCCATTTCCGTAGTGGTACCCTCGACAAAACGTCTCCGTCTCCTCGGACGTCTCGGTTGTCTGCTTGCTCGATCCCGTGCCCGCGCCACTCGTACAGCCAGATGACACAGCGTAGCCACCGCGTTCAGCCACACTGCGGGTCACGTCGCCACTCACGTCTTCGCGTGCCAAGTCTCTCACGTCCTCGCTCGTCACTGTCTCCGTCGTTTCCGTTTCCTCCGTCGAGGTCATCTCGGTGGCCATTCGGTAGTGGTACCCTCGACAAAACGTCTCCGTCTCCTCGGACGTCTCGGTTGTCTGCTTGCTCGATCCCGTGCCCGCGCCACTCGTACAGTCAGATGACACAGCGTAGTCACCGCGTTCAGCCACACTGCGGGTCACGTCGCCACTCACGTCTTCGCGTGCCAAGGCTCTCACGTCCTCGCTCGTCACTGTCTCCTTCGTTTTCGTTTTCTCCGCCGTGGGCCTCTCGGTGGCCATTTCCGTAGTGGTACCCTCGACAAAACATCGCCGTCTCGTCGGTCGTCTCGGTTGTCTGCTTGCTCTCCCCCGTGCCCGCGCCACTCGCACAGTCAGATGACACATCGTAGCCACCGCGTTCAGCCACACTACGGGTCACGTCGCCACTCACGTCGTCGCGTGCCAAGGCTCTCACGTCCTCGCTCGTCACTGTCTCCGTCGTTTCCGTTTCCTCCGTCGTGGACATCTCGGTGGCCATTTTCGTAGTCGTACCCTCGACAAAACATCGCCGTCTCCTCGGTCGTCTCGGTTGTCTGCTTGCTCTCCCCCGTGCCCGCGCCACTCGTACAGTCAGATGACACAGCGTAGCCACCGCGTTCAGCCACACTGCGGGCCACGTCGCCACTCACGTCTTCGCGTGCCAAGGCTCTCACGTCCTCGCTCGTCACTGTCTCCGTCGTTTCCGTTTCCTCCGTCGTGGACATCTCGGTGGCCATTTCCGTAGTGGTACCCTCGACAAAACATCGCCGTCTCGTCGGTCGTCTCGGTTGTCTGCTTGCTCTCCCCCGTGCCCGCGCCACTCGTACAGTCAGATGACACATCGTAGCCACCGCGTTCAGCCACACTGCGGGTCACGTCGCCACTCACGTCTTCGCGTGCCAAGGCTCTCACGTCCTCGCTCGTCACTGTCTCCGTCGTTTTCGTTTCCTCCGTCGTGGTCATCTCGGTGGCCATTTTCGTAGTGGTACCCTCGACAAAACGTCTCCGTCTCCTCGGTCGTCTCGGTTGTCTGCTTGCTCGATCCCGTGCCCGCGCCACTCGTACAGTCAGATGACACATCGTAGCCACCGCGTTCAGCCACACTGCGGGTCACGTCGCCACTCACGTCTTCGCGTGCCAAGGCTCTCACGTCCTCGCTCGTCACTGTCTCCGTCGTTTCCGTTTCCTCCGTCGTGGTCATCTCGGTGGCCATTTCCGTAGTGGTACCCTCGACAAACGTCTCCGTCTCCTCGGTCGTCTCGGTTGTGTGCTTGCACGATCCCGTGCCCGCGCCACTCGTACAGTCAGATGACACAGCGTAGCCACCGCGTTCAGCCACACTGCGGGTCACGTCGCCACTCACGTCTTCGCGTGCCAAGGCTCTCATGTGGTGTAGTAGAACACACAAATACCGTCAGATGTGGATTCCTTACACAAAACACAACGCATCGCCGAGTTAGGTCGGCGGTTGTATGGCCTGCGCAGAGGGTGGTCCCCTCGCGGTCCGGCCCTTCCGGGACAGACGAGTGGCTCGCTTCCACTCGGTTCCGATCGCGGTCCGGCCCTTCCGGGACAGACGAGTGGCTCGCTTCCACTCGGTTCCGACTAACCAAGTCAGATCACTTCCGAGGCTCCACCGAGTTTGGTTCGGCTGATCTCGTTCACAACCCTGTGCCCTCCGCCAAAGGATGGACGACGGCGCGCGAGCGCTTTTACAGGTCACCGAGCGCAGAGGCTGCTCAGCTAGAAGTGTTACGGCACCCGGGCTATCCGACGTACCGGCCCGCTGAGTATGCGGGGCTTTCTTTCGCGCGTAGCGAGACTTTGTCCTACCCGGACCGACCTAATCTCTTGGCGCTACCAGTCAATACCCTACAAGCTATGCCTCTCGAGTATTGACGGCAGGCATAATCCAGCCCTATGCAGGGACTTACCGGAAAAGTGTACACGTGTCTTGGACTAG